GTGTGTGATTTAGAGCATGACAATTCCTGTGCACCTTACTAAGATACTATCTTTAACCTCTAAATCCACGCTTCTGTAATCTTTATGAAGTCAAGGTTGATGTTATGCACATCTAATTTCTCTTTAGAAAATAACTTGTGGGCATGGAGTAGGAAAAGGATCTCAAACTATTGCAGCCAGAAAGTAGTTGAAAATTTGGCTATCTATAGTCCTGGAAGGTTTGGCCAACCATTGGTATTTAAGAGCCTAACAGGGAGGTGGAAGGGGAAAATGGGTTTTGATTATTTCTGTTTTGAAAGAGCAGTGGGCTCTGGTGTGTGGGGAGGAGGGAGTTAAAGGGTGCTGCCCAACCACCCCTGCAGATTTTTACCAGGATGGCATCCACCGCAAAGACACCTGCACATTTTCCCGAGAGCTACAGCGACCACCAAAACCAATGCTGTCCTGTGATTCATAGCTCCACCCCGAAAAGTACCCCGTTATGTGTTCCTGAGATCCTGTTCTGGTTTGCATGTACCCATTCCCACCACTGTGATTTTCAGGCATATAATTATGCCCCTGACTTCTTCCCGTTGGGGTAGCTGTCTGTCTAGGAAACAACCTCTCCAAATAAACTTCTTCTTCATGGCAGTGTCTCCATCATCCTTGAGTGGGTTACAGTCTCATTTATTTTTCATGTTTTTGGTTTTTGCTTGTTTGTTTGTTTGTTTACTAGTAGAGGCATCTTACCTGGCCTTAGCAAGTGTTTCCATCAGCAGTTGTTTACAGACTCCTAGACTTTCCACGCTGATTGGGTTCCTTGCTCTCCCTTCATCTTGCCAGCCCATGCCTGCCAGTGCCTGCCTTAGTCACCTTCCCACCACTGGACAGTTTACCTGGAACTCTCAGTTTAGAGGAGACGAGGTGTGTTTTGGCTCTTGGTTTCAGTTCATGGCTGGCTTGCTCAAAGGCAGACATAGAATAAATGGTGAACATGGAATAGGAAAAGGATCTCAGACCATTGCAGCCAGGAAGTAGAGAGAGAAAGGAACCACAGGCACAAGAATATACAGCCTTCTAAGTCACATGCCTGGCCACTAGCCTCTTCTCCCAAGGCCCCACCTCTCAACTGCACGGTTAGCTCTCAACTCACCCTTGGATTAATCCATGCTGAGCACAGTGCCCCAATCACATTACAAAAGCCCCACCTCTGAACACAAAAGGCTTTGGGGGAACAGCTGCCGTGAGAGCTCTTGGAGCTGTTTGGATCTAGTGTGTGCAGTAGTAGGATGTGTGTGGTATTAAATTAGCCCACTCGTTGGCTTAGCATACTTCTGTGTGTGGATACTGGGAAGATCCATCCTTGGGAATGGACAGAGAGGCTTACTATCATTGCCTGCTGCTGCCTGCCTCCTGCCTACCATGCCATGGACTGTTTCTCCTGTGATGCCCTTCAGCCATGACACCTGCCTTGGAACCAGCCGACTATAGACTGAAACTTCCACAAACTGTGAGCTGAAATAAACCTTTTATCCCTTAATGTTGGGTGTCAGCAATGAGAAAAGTAAGTGAGTAGATGGAGTGGGGGAAGAAAGTTGTTCACCTCATGTAGGCCAGGAAGCAGAAAGCAGGGGAAGCAGAGAGAGGGACAGAAGTGGGGGCAGGATGCACCCTAAGGGCATGCGGCCAGCGACTGCTTCCTGCAACCGGGCACCATCTTCTAACAGCCCATTCAGCCAAAACCCTCATCATTCACTCAGATCCTCAGATCTCATCAGCTTGGTGATCTGATTCTTCCATCCAGTGATGTTTGGGGGAACATTCTGGATCTCAATGGTAACAGTATCCAAAATCTAGATTCTGGAGAAAAGGTGATGTGTGAGGAGGGAAATGGGAATTTTTAGCCGTGTGAATATAAACAGAAGATGAAAGTACAGTTCTCATGAATGATTAAACAGAGGGAGCAGCAACTGATGAAATTCTGTAGTTAAAGCAATTTCTTTTAGTACTGTTAAGGAGAGTTCTGAGTAGATAAATGTTTAGAAAAGAGAAAAAGAATATATATTAACAATGAGAAGGAACAAGTTTCCTTTTTCTATCATACTTTTTTTAAACTTTTAATAGCTTGTGTTTGCTGTATGTAATGATTACATTCACTGTAGGGAGTTGGTACATGTATGTAAGACATTTTAATTATTATAGTTCCCTTTCCATCCACCTCCTTTTGTTGTTCCAGAATCAGATTCATTTTTCTTATATATTTTACAAAGCTAATTAACAGATACAAAGATTCAAAACCATGCTAATAGACCAAAGGACATAGAAAACATCTAAGACAATGTACCAAGACAAGGTACAATTTTAGGCACATTGTCCATGCCCTCCAAGCTCTCTTTCTGCCCCTCCCTCCATCCCTCTGTCCATCTCTCTGTTTCTCCCTTTCTCTCCATCTGTCTGTCTCTCCTTATTATGTCTTTTATTTCATACTTTATATACACTGAGTTTTTCTTATAAGACAATCCATGTGATTTTAAGGCCTTGTGTCTGAGTCATTTCACTTAACATTATAGTCTCAGAGTGCATTGATTTTCCTACAAATTACTCATTTATTCTTATGACAGAATAGTACTCCATTGTGTATGAATACCACATTTTTTTTTACCCACTCATCTGTTGGTGGACATACAGGCTGCGTCCAAGGTTTAGCTATTATGAATTATGCTGCTATCAACAATGGTATGTATATATCACAGTATCATCGTGTCTTCATCTCCTTTAGAAAGATGCCTAGAAAGGGATCAAATTGGATTTCCAGTTTTAGTTTGTTGAGGACTCAAAAATACTGAATTCTATAGTGGTTGTACCAGTCTACACTCCCAGCAACAATGCAGAAGGGTTCCTTTCTCCTCATACCCTCACAAGAATTTGTTATCAGTTGATTTCTTGCTGGCAGCCATGCTTTTTGGAGTGAGACGGAATTTCAGTGCCACTTTAATTGGATTTCTCCAATGGCCAATGATATGGAGTACTTCTCCTGTACTTATTAGCTGATTATGACTTGTTTCCCATGTCTATTCATTATATGCCCACTTCTAATTAAATCTATAAATTTGAGAGATTTAAACTTGTTGAGTTCTTGATATAGTCTAGATGTTATTCCTTTTTCTGAGTAGCTAATAAAATTTTGTTCCCATTCTGTAGACTGTCTCTTCGCTCTTTTGGCAGTTTCTTTTGCTGTGAAAAATTTTCTTGTTCTTATATGATCCCATTTGTTGATTCTTGGTATTATTTCTTGTGCATCTGGGGATTTGCTCAGGAAGTCTTTGCTGACACCTGTCTTCAAAAGTTTTATCCATTTTGTCTTCCAACAGATTGTTTCTCTTCTAATATTTAGATCTTTGTTCCCTTTCAATTTTGGTTTATTGCATGTGAAAGATACGAATCTAAGTTCAACCTCCACCACATGGATGGCAGTTGTCCTAACACTATTTGTTAAAGATGTTATCTTTCCTCTAGAAAAGAGACTTGGCCTCTTATTCCCAGATAACATAGGTGAGTGTGCTGGGAGTTGTTTCTGTATCTTAACTCTGTTCCACTTGTTCCATGCCATTTGTATCAGTATAGCTTTGTAATATAACTTGAAGTTCAGAGTCATAATGCCTCTTGCTTTGTTTTTGTTGCCCATAATTGCTTTTGCTATTCTAGGTCTCTTTTGAGAAGGAAAAGTTTTTGCAGGGAAATCCACGGGGAGGCTCCTGGGAGGGGAAATAACATGAGAACAGAATAGGCAGTCTGTGTTTGAGCCAAGAAGAAGCACACCTGTGTTTTCCATTTTAAGGAGACTACTGGAAGAGGATAGTGTGACACAGACAAAGCCACGGACTAAGGGATGGTGAGGTATTAAAGGGGCTCTAGTGGGAGCTTCCAAAGCAGTTCGTAACACAATCGTGATCAATAGCGTGGGCCCAGGACAGACTCTTTGTTCACTGCTTGCTGACTGCAATGTGGACAAGATACTGCACAGCACAGCTGGAAGAAGTGATGAGTTAATACATATAACTTCAACACTGCTCAGCGGTGTTGTGTAGCTCTTTATCAGTGCATGAAGGATTGTCCTGGTTCCAGTAGAAGTGACTGAGAAATGGGGTTGGGACATTTTACCCAAGGAGTACTGTGGGAGTTACTCCTGAGGGGGCTCTTCCACAGTGAAATAAAGAGCAAGCACAACATAAAAGAAATAATGAGCAATGGTGGGGACCCGATTATCCTTTCTCACTCAGGAACCCACCACGAGGCTCACTGGCAGTGTTCATTTAATTTCACATAAACACGAAGCAAATCCAACTGATTGTCAGGCTTAAAATGCAATATAGAACTGTTCTTCATGGCTGTTTATTGTTGTTGATTCATTAAACCGATGCAAAAGTGATAAAAGCAGGATAATCAGTGGCAAATGTTTTTTGTTTTGTTTTGTTGTTTTCTTTTTATCGGTACCGGGGACTGAACCCACGACTGCCTGCTTGCAAGGCAGGCACTTATGCTGCTGAGCTAAATCCCCAGCCCCTCAGCTCCTTTTTTATAGTATTTTTTCTTTTTTTGAGACAGAGTCTCACTATGCAGTTCAGGCTGGCCTTGAGCTCACTCTGTAGCCCAGGCTGGTCTCCAACTCGCAAGGATCCTCCCACCTCAGCCTCCCGAGTGCTGGGATTACAGACATGAGCCACCCCGCCCGGCTCTATCAGTGGCAAATGTTGAAGCTAGGTCTGGACTGTACTTCCTAATTTACCTTGGGGTGAACGCTGTAGTCTCGGATTATGACTGAGGGCGGGTACCCTCACAAATCCACCTCCTCCCTGTGGCCCAGAGCAGACTGGCATTGGGGTTGGCTCAGCCGGAATCAGCATGACCTTCTCCACACACACTCTACGAATGGGGAGGGGGGGTGCCTTCCAGATTGGGGCCATCGGGTAGGGCGGGGGCCTGGCAAGGCAACAATGGCAATTGTGACAGTGCCAGATGGGGCAGGGCTGGGGGGCCAGGAAGTGCAGGTCACCTGAGCCCCAGGCAGGCAGGAGGCGCCCAGGGGCGCTGGGCCCTGCAGCAGCATGTGTCTGCGATTCCAGGATGATGAACCTGCCCAAGTCTACCCCTACCCTGTGAGTGCCCTAAGGTTCCTAACCCCATCCACAGCCCTGCTTCCCAACCTGAGCTGCGGCGATGAGTGCCACCTTCAAGCTAAAAAACTGGATCCCAATGGGGTGGGAGTCTAGAATGGTTTAGAAAATTGGAGTAAGAGATGAGAACCTCATAAATTCACAGCCAGGTTCCTTGAGCGTTGCTACTTTGGTCACCCCAGATTCCCCAGGCTTTGGAAGACAGATTAAAGGCCAGGTTCCTTCACAAAAGGCAGGGGCACCACCAGAATCAAACATCAACCAGAAGGTGATTTTTAAAATAAAATGTTTGTATGTGCCTCCTCCCCAGAATGAATCTCAGTATTCTATCTGTCTTCCACAGTTTATTTCAGAGATGGTTCTTTTTTCTCACTGCAATTCCCATTCTCCAGCTTCAGTTTGAGTTTAGATTGTTCTTCCTGTTATCCTATGTCTCACAGTTGATATAATATTCATATACAACCTAAATAAAATGTAGCACAAGCCTGTTAGAAGAATCAATCGCTCTGCAGTCTCTATTCTTCAATGTGTTTACATGTGCACCTTAATTTTGCATATTACGCAGGAAAGATCAAGACATCCTCACCCTTCAGACATCCCTAAAAGACAGGTAATATTTAAATAATCTAAATTCTACTTGTTTCCATACTGTACTTTTGACTTATTCTCTTATGTGTGGTGGTCCCTTAGGGTAGAACAGTGTTATTAATTAGGCAGTCCCATGATACCTTTCTTGAAACTCTTAGATCTTGAAAAGGCTACTGGAATGCATCTTGATTAGGATAAATTAAACAGCTTACATTGTCATGTTAAATATAACATTTGATACATATACAAATATATATAGATATGTATAGCATTACAACCTGTAAAATATAGTAATGCAATTTACTTCCACTTTAAGAAACCATTCAAGTACAGTTATGCTTTGACCTGTATTGTTATGTTGTTATGTCCTCTTTTATCTCAATCTCTCCCTTATTCACTAAAAAAATTGTTTAGTTATTTTTTATGGTTTTTTTAATTAAGGGGAAAATTAAAAAAATAGCAGGATATATTATAGTAACTTTTTTTGATTTCCTATTTACTTGATTTGAAGTCCTGTAATATTCCCACTATCTTGTTTTGACTGATAAGACTCTGTTCCGTTCTGTATGATAGTATGAAGTTTGAGGGTATAGGCAACTACTTTGAAGGCAATAAGATTCACTAAGATGCCCATTCTGGTTTGACTATTGTCTCCTTTGGAAGTCCTGTAATGTTTACAGTGTTTAAGTTTTATTGGTCTTGTTCTCTACTGTTTTGTTCAACTTTATAATACCTGATGAGATAGACAATTCTTTTTAAGGAAGCAAGAGGCATTATGGTAACCATTGTTGATAACCTTGTACTCTGTTTTTACATCATGTACTATGTCTATCCTTGGTTTTGACTGACAGCTTTGTTTTGCCATATTTGACTTTATTCTCTTCCAAAAAAAAGTAATAAGAACTAAGGAGTAATAAAACCCAAAATGGGTAAATTCTGTTATAAAAAAAGAGAGGGAAAAAAAGTGCTCTAAAGGATACAACTGCAAGTGTGTTTAGGGGTGTTAAATAGCTGACCATATTAATGTTTTTGGTTGGATCATTGAACGCAACTGTTTGCAGTCTCTCTGTTTGAATGTTCACTTTGTATGCTTTGATACTGTGACTTGAGCAACTATCTCTAAGATGACAATGTGTAATCTATTAACTGGTGATTTCTTACTGTTTTTTTTTTTTTTTGTAGTTCTGTATTACTGTATTACCCTTACACCGCTTTGTTTTGTTTTGTTTTGTTTTCTCTTTTTCCTTTTAAATAAAATTAAAAAAAAAAAAAAAAAGAAACCATTCAAGTATACGTGAAACCTGTCTAGGGACTTGGTATTTTACCTCCTTACATCTCTCTTGCAGGTAACAATTACTGACTTGAATTTTATTTCTATTCATCTCTTCTTTTTAATAGACTTGTCACATGTGTCTCTGTACATGCAGTTTTGTGTTTTGGTTGCTTTTAAGTTTATAAGCATGCAATCATACAAAATCCAGTGTATGTTTTACTCTCTTCTCAACATAGTTTCCCTAAGATGGTCCATGTTGCTGTACACTTAAGTGACCTTTATCTTCACTACTTTTTAATATTTCATTATAGAACATATCACAGCTCATTATTCTCTATTACTCACAGGCATTGCGTCATTGCACAATTTCCTCTGCCAAGCAGCACAATTTTGAACACCTAGTACATTTCTTTTTTCATCCTGGGCAAGAGATTCATTAGATTATTCAGACATAACATAATCTAGAATACAAAGAAAGCATATTTTTCATTGCTTGAAAAATAATGCCACATTATTTTTGAACAACTTATACTAATTTACACTGCTGCTGCCAGTAAATAAAAGGGTTCTCAGTTTTCATATTTTTACGTATTTAGATACAGGGTACCACTATGCAGCTCAGGCTGGCCGTGAAATTGCAGTAGAGGCAGGAGTTACCTTATTCTGATTTTCATCTTCTCTTTTTCGTACTGAATTTTATTATCTTCAAAGAATTCTAGGTTAATTGACTAGGTCTCCTATTACTTGTAAATGCTATAAAATGCAAACATAAAAAAGCTATACATGAATGCAACATTTAAGAGGAATAAATAATATACTTGTTATTTCTATAAAGAAGATCTGTTTAGTGATTTTAAATAATATCATACTTAAAATGAAACTAGGCACACAAATCCATGAATCTGGATTTATAGAAATATGGACAGTGTACAGGTAGGAATCAGGAGTATTTTCCTGTCCAAGCCCTGCTGATTCTCTAAGTTTTGTGGGGCCTGGAGGAATTTTTAATTTATTTTCGATTTTTGAAACAGAGTCTTGCTCTGTAATTTAGACTGGCCTTGAACTCACTTCATAGCCCACACTGGCCTCATACTTGGGGTGGGCCTCCTGCCTCAGCCTCCTAAGTGGTGGGATTGCAGGCAGCTTTTTCATTTGCTTGCTTGTCTGTTTAACCTGTGGCTCACACAAAGGGATTCTTTTTCTTCTGTTAGCCATACAATCCTGTTGATTGTTATATACTGATACAAAACAAAAATTGCTGTGTACCACATATTATAGAGAGTATAATTTGGTTTTCTCCTTAACCCTCAGTCTACAGATGAGCGCATTGTTTACATGCGTAACCTGAGGAAAGAGAAGAGGAAATTAAATAAGCGGTTTATGAGACCAGAGCCTATCCCAGAGCCAGGGCTCCTGGTAAGTGGGGCTGCCACCGAGGTGAACAGCTCCCTGATGCGACTCACAGCCTCATTCTGCACAGAAAAGCATTCACACTAAATTTTATTTGCCCCTTTTCCCCGGAGAAACCTGTAATTTCAGCCTGGGAAGGCCCCTTACACCTCCTCTGTTCAGTACTCGGAACTTAAATTTTCTTGCAGTTCTTCCCTAGAGGTATCGTGGGCTAACGAAAATGGAACCCACGCAGTGCTGGGTTCCAGATGCCGTGTTTGCTAAGTCATGTATTCTCCACGCTTAATCACTTTGACCATTTAGGTTACATTATTCAGAAAATAAATTATAAAATCCCCTGACAAAGACCTATTTAGCTTAATGCGCAATCCTTGAAATATCAGGGGACCATCACAATCACAATTTACTTCAATGTTGTCAAGGATTTAAGTTCTCACATTATGTGTTATCCAGAACCTTTAACAGGTGGTATGAATTTCTATTTCTGGTAATCAGGCATAAATGCATGGCACGTCTACTAGAAGGTTCTTCAGACAATTAAGGACAACTATTACGTTCCTCCAGTTTCTGAAATTCCTGCAGGCTAAATATCCAGATTCTTCATCTATTCCTCTTTCAGCCAGTCTCCGGGATCATACTTACATTTCCTATGCCGATATCCTGGCTTTAATCATTCCTCCTTACAGTGTTTGTATTCTGATTCACTGTGGTTTTTTATATCACATCCATGTTTAGATAGGATTTATTCGATAAAAAAATTTTCTAGCTTTTATCTGAATATGACCTTACTTAAATTTCAAATAATTGGTCAATCTTAATGCTGCTCAAATGTGATAAAAGACCAGTTGCATTTGATTTTTATTTTGCTTTGCTTTAATCTTAAAGCCATTGTGGACTGATAATTCTGTAAAGTGAAATCAATGGATCCTAGCATTAACAGATTCTTATAAATGATTGTCATTTCTCTACCAACGTTGGTCTCAAATGACACTGAAAATGAGACCTGAGCCAGAATCCAGACCATACAGCGTGATGCTGGGACCACACTGATCTTTCTTCCTTCACGTGTTCTCCTCTTATATCTTTTGCAAGTTGTTTGGTTAGAAGCATCGTCTTTATGAATACCTCTTCTCATGCTTTTCTGCTTCAACTGATTTTTGACTTCAGAAAAAAATAGTAGTAACTTAATAATAAATATAAATTATTCAAGATGAAACTAAAGGCCTTTGTTTATAAAATATCAATAAGTGGGCGGTGCCTAGTAGCACAGAAGATTAGGACTACAACACAAAGTTGTGAAAAGAAAATTGAAAATATTTTTTATATTTTGTGTGTTCAGTCCACATAACAAAATTGTAACCCTAATAAACTCCTGAGTATATATGTTGATGGATAGGAAATTATCCTGAAATCTTACTTTACAGTTAAACCCCTTAAAAGAGATATATGTAATCTTTACATTTTACTGAATCTGTCCCTGTTGCTCATTTTATTCTGAAACCTATCAGGGCTTAATGACTTTTAATAGATAGGTACAAAATGCTTTCTCAATCACAAAATATAAGGCTTGGCAAAGAAAATTACTATGCTTATCATGTACGTCACATCCCTTTTGTTCTGAAATAACTTTGACCTTTTCTTGAACTAGCTTCATAGTTTCAGCGTTTGAAGTCTGATTCACAGAGAACTTTTTTTTTAATATCTTACCCACGTTCAGTTAGGACTTATTTGATAAAAATGTTTTCTGGCTTTCCTCTGAATATGCCCTTACTTAAATTTATAAGAGCATTACTCAGAAAAAATGCAGATGCTCCACAAACACATGAAAAATTATTCAACATCTTTAGTCATTAGCAAAATGGAACATTAAAACACTGAGATTCACTCTCATGGTAGAAAAAACGGCTATCAATAAGGAATAATAACAAATACTAACTAATCTTGGCAGGGCTATAATGAGAAAGGAACCCTCTTACATTGCTGGTGGGAATGTAAACTAGTTACAACCATTACTGAAAACAGAATGGGGGTGCCTCAAAAAACCAAAACGTGAAATTCCATGCCACCCAGTTATTTCACTACTAGGCATTTTTACGAAAGAGGAAAAGACATCATATTTCAGTGATCCATGCACACCCATGTTTACAGCAGCACAATTCCTAAGAGCTAAATCAGACAAATAGATAAAGAAAATGTGGTATGTACACACAGTAAAAGCACTACTCTGCTACAAAGAAACTTTAAGTCATTTATTGGAAAACTTACACACCTTGAAAACATAATTCTAAGTGAAATCAATCAGACACACGCTTAAATGTCATCTGGTTTCTGTCACGAGAAATCCAAAAAATAAATAATGTAGAGAGTAAAATAAAAGACAGATAAAAGGAAACAAGGAGATAAGTATAGTGCAAAAGAAAAAGGGAGGAAGACTTATGAGAGTTAGGGGAAGGGAGGGAGATGAAAAAAAAAGAGAATGAAAATGTGACATGCAAAGTTTCACAGTAAAAGCGGTCATTATGTATTGCAAATGTGCTAACAAAATAAGAATAGCATTCATAGCAACTAAAGATGGTTATATGCAATGCTATTTACATAAAAGGCTTCATCTTGGTAATTTATAGTTGTGGGACATTTTTCTGTTATAGATTTTAATTGAATTTCTTTTGTGTCTTTTAACTTTTAGTGGCCATCTTGATTAAGCTGTTGTCTGTATGGAAGAAACCATGTTTGAAGCCAAAATACATGGATTTTTAACATCGGGTGGCATATCATGGTTTGATTTCATTGAAAAATAAAGAGACTAATCTGCCATTTCAGCAAAATAAACACAGGGCAAGCATTTAACAACAAAGCTAATTGCTCTCAGATTTTATTAAATACCACACATCACCATCTCTTTCTTTTCTGTGGTAAATCTGACAGTCTGCTTTGCAAAAAAAAAAAATACATATATATGCTTTTTGAAAATAATGTACTTCTCATTTACACTTTTACAATTGACTTTAGTCATTAAGATTTATGCTTTAATAAGAGAAATAGATTTCTGTTACATTATTCATAATGACTTGTAGTTAAATTTTTAAAAAGTTCTTAAAGAGTTCCACAAGAGAGTTTTCACACAACTAAAACCCCTTTTATGTGTTCATATTGCAAGTAAGGAGTAGTGTATAATTTCCATTATGATAAAATCTGAATACAGAATTAAAATTTTAAATTTGTGTATAAATTATGTCTTTCTAAAATGCTTAATCACATAAGTGATTTTCAAGTTGCAAATGGGATAATCACAATTGTCTTCTAAATTAAAGAACAACTAACTATTGGATTAACACAGTGCATTTGTTAACTGATTTTCAGTCTCTAATGCGCAATGTAAAGCAAAGTTCAGGGAATTCTGCTATTAAAAATGATGAGAGTACAAAGCATACAGCCCACTGTAAATAACAGGAAGACAAAATATTAAAAATAGTGGTTTTCAGAACTGGAACAAATTTTTTAAAAAAGGAATTGTGGTCTTTGAGATAAGAGAAATAAGGATAGTGAGGCTTATGATTAATTCATTTATCGCCTGGAGGAGGATTCTATATGTATCATGATCCAAGGAGATCACAAGCAGAACACGATGACTTTCCTGAGTTGAGGCTGAATTGTAGAACAGAGATAAGAACCGAGGAAGTCCCATTTAGCTGGATGTTGTATGGAAGAATTACAGTGAGTGAAGACTATGCAGAGAACCTCACTGCCCTTCATATTGTTTGGCTGGAGTCTTTGCTGAGAGCTAAGCTGTCTGTGCATGGCTTAAACTGACAAGGTTAAACTGGCCTTGTGCAGGGAGTGAAGGCCTGGCCAGTTATAACCTGAGCAGTCTCCAGCACTCACACCAACACAGACAGATATTTTGAGTATTGACAAGACTGCGTATAGAGACGTCATTTACACACATGGTGTGTACTGGAGATACCACAGGACTTGTCTAGTAGGAGATTACTACTATCAGGTCAGCCTACAGAGGCTTACCCACTTTCGAATAGGGGAATTTTCCATTACCACCACTGAGGTATTTCCAAACCCTTGGTAGACGCCAGAACTGCATTAGACACTGAATCTTTTATAAACTATGCTTTTCTATACATATGCTTCATATGATAAAGTTTAATTTATAAAGTATCACACGAGATTAACAACAAAAGCTATTCAGAAATAGAATACAACATAATATACTGTCAACATATTATAAATTGTAGTCTTTTTCTCTCTCTTGAGTTAAGGCAACTATGAACATTTTACACTATGGTTTCATTTCTGTTACCCATGGTTGAATGTGGGTAGCAGAAATTGTGAAAAGGGATACAGGGAACAAGAAGGGGACAGATGCAATCTGACTTACCCACACTAAGTGCCCACCAAGGTCAAGGCCAATACTTTAGAGGAAAACTACAAAATTCCAAGACATATAATATGTCCAATGCTTTCCACCCAAGAAAAATTACTACGTATGCCAAAAAATGAAACACTTAACCAGAGAGGGGGGCATCATGTCACAGAAACAGATAGAAAGGAAAGAGAAAGTGGAAATAGAAAAAATAATTAAATGCTCCATAATGGAAAACATGACCATAAAAAGAGGACTGACATGTATGTAAAAAGTAGTAAATGGACCTCATAGAAGTGAAAGATATTTAGCCAGAGGTATAGCTCAGCAGCACAGCGCCTGCCTGGCAAGTGCGAAGTCATGAGTTACGCTGCTGATAACAAAAAAAAAAAAAAAAAAAAAAAAAAAAAAAGCAAATAACCTCAAGATATCTGATATTTAAAAATTCACTGCAGGAAGTGAATATTAGATTAAAACCTAAACTATATTAGATTAAACATATTAGATTAAAAGCATAAACTATTAAAACTGAAGAAAGAGATGATCTAGCCATAGAAACAATTCAAACTGAAATAGCCAGGGCTAGGGATTTAGCTCCGTGGGGCAGCTCCTGCCTGGTAAGTGGGAGGTCCCAAGTTTGGTTCCTGGACCCCTTGCCTAAAAAAGAAAAGACTACGAAAAGGAGAGCCTCACTGGTCTTGAAAACTACATCATGTAGAGGTCCAAACATACACAGTATGTCTGAGGTGGGGTGGCAGTGAAAATCACATTTCAAAATGTCTCTAAATTCGATGAAAAATAACCCACATATCTGAAGACTTTAATGACACCAACAAGAATGAAGGTCAGTCTTTTCCAAATTACTTCATAATAAAATTTCTGAGAAACTCTGGGGGAAAAGCGAGACACATCAGGGGATTGCATCTCAATAAAGGCTGAGAAATAGAGGTAAGGATACCACAAACCTCATGAGAAGCTAGGCAGACCAGAAGGTGATGGAAGACATCTTTGAAGGACTGATATGATAAAACCAGAAACTTTTTTCAAAACACAAAGCCCAAATTTATCATTAGCAGACCAAGAAGAGGAAGTTCTTTAAACGAAAGAAAATAATAGGAGATCTTTGCATCTATGCAAAACAAAGAGCTCTGGAAACGATATCTGAAAAAATACAAAATCATTTTTTAGTTTTTTAAAAAGTCAATTGATTTTAGCAAAATTAAGGTATGGTAGGTTTTGTAACTTGCAGGAAGGAGAAAAATGTATGACAAGTGAGAGAAGGCAGTGCAGTTATTCAAAGTTTCATGTATTTTATTTATATATATTGATGGTATATTTGAGTATTTTAAAGATACATATTATAAATATAAAAAAAAAACCATAAAAAGAATCAAAGATAAACTAATAGTCCAGGTAGAATGGAGTGCTAAAAATCTCTCCAAACAAAGATAGAAATGAGAAAAAAAATTGATGTGAAAATAAAAGCAAACAGCAAAATGACATATTTAATTTCAAATGAATGAATAACATCAGACGTAGTCTAAGGACTCCAACTTAAAAGTCACTGCCATGAAACTCAAAGAATTTGAGATTCTTCTTTATTCACCAGAAAAATGTTTCACAGTTTCATAGACACTGCAAAACACAAAGAGACTACATATAGAGCAAAGAATTTGATTATTCCCTGCACAGCAAGCAGCATCAAACGCAGGCTGAAGTTTGTGGCCTTTATCTCTCCTGTCCTCTGAGGGTAATGCAGATATGTGCTCTGTCAGCTCTCTTGCAGAGGTAAGAACATCACTATCTTAAGTAACAGACTACTAGCAAACCTGCCCAACTTGGCTCCAGAGTGACACACATGTATTATTATTTATACACAGCAAGCCTGACGGGAGTTTCTCCCAAGTTTTCTACAACAGCAGCAACATGGCAGTCCTCCAGAGCAATAAATTAAAAATAAAACTTTAAGACTTTTGGTCAAAAAATCATTCAGAACCAAGAAGGGACCATGGAGAATTTAAATTTATACATTTTCACATGTAAGTGATCTAAACCTCACAGAAAGCCAAAGGTCAATAATCAGGAAGAAAATTCTAAAACCCGGTCAAATTGATGAAAATATTAAGGTTAACTTGGTCATTAACACTAACCTAAGATAGTTGCCTTAAATGCATTTATATAATAAAAATAAAAAAAACCAATAAAATGCTAATGCAAATTAATTTGTAAAATCTGAAAATAGCAAGTACGACAATGATGAGAAATAAACTCTCACCTATATCTCATAGAAATGTAAAATACAAATCTAGTTGGAGGTTCACAAATTTCAAAACCATTAAAAGAACAAAACATTGTTTCATGTATTAACATGGAAGAATCTCAAAAACATTAGGTCATATTTAAAATTTACAAACTGAATGTTCAATTTATGTTAAAGTTATTAAAGGTATAGAGATATTTTAGTGGTTGCCTGGTCTGCGTATAGAATACAAGATCAGGAATGAACCTGGGAACTTTTTGAAGTGGTCTTTTGTATCTTGATTGTGGGAGTGTTTACACACAGGTACACACCTACTGAAACCTCGTGAATTAGAGAACAGGGCAGATGACATGTAAATTCCCCGTAAGTTATGCATAATACCTGTAAGAATATACATAGAATGTTAACTGATTTTTGAGATGTTAACTGTCACTTTACTGCCTTTTTGGCAGCTTTTGAAAGTTTCCCCACAAACACGGGTACCTCACCAAATGCAAGGACAAGTAAAACAGAAGACCTGGTGTGGAGAGGAGATCCTTCACTTCAGCATCACCTGTGAATTCACTGGAAATGAACCTCAGGTTTCGCCTGAATCAGCATCAACAGTTTAACGAGATGCCCTGGTGATACACCTGCTTATTAAGATCTGAGGAAACACTTGAGGAAAACAGCTCTGAATAGATCCGGAGGAATCCCTGGCTCCCCAGTACCAGACAAGGTGCCTCTGTCCACATGCATCGCCTCAGAGGGCGCAATCACCCTCTACCCTCTCCCCTGCTGACGCCTGCGAGGTCCACAGAAAAGATATTGAAGGCTTCTGATCTCAGCTTGCAAATCTGGCTTTAATATCTTCTAGGCCAGATCCCACCGCCTCAAAGAAGTAGCGGAAACTCCAGAGTCCTACTGCTCACCTACCAGCGAGCAGACAGGTGGAGCAGGAAAAGCTCCGGCTCAGACTGGCCAGCCTCCCGCACCAGCCCGCACCTGTCACGCGCAGGTGTTTCCAGGCCTATGCATCATCACGCAGGGGCGGGGCTGGGAGGGTCACTGCGCAGCCGCAATCCTTTGGCTGAAGAGCGTGATCTCAGAAGGTGGAGCTAAGCAAGGGAATTGGGTTGGTTGGGCGGAGCCTTGAGGCGCGGATTGGACATTGTCTAAGGGGCGGGGCCGAGGGACTATGGGGGCGGGGCTTCGGCGACCTGCGACGCGCGACGTGCGGCTGGAGTCGGCTACGAGGACGTCGGCGTGGGCTCAGTTGTGGCGCTGCGGCTGCGGCTCCTGCTCGGGGCGCGCGGCGGCGTCGTGCGGATGGGGCTGTGCTTCCCTTGCCCCGGGGAGGCCGCGCCGCCGTCGCCGAGCCCGGTAAGTGGGGCGGGCGGCCGAGGGGACCAGGTGATCCAGGAGGGTGCCGTGTCCACTGGAGACCTGGCTTAGTGGTGCGTCGTTCACGTTCCGCGTCTTCCTTGAAAACGAAGCCGTTTTCTACGACAATGGGTAGAACGGAGCCCGAGTGCTGCGCCTCCAGTTGGGTTCGAGTTTGACAGAAAACCGGGGAAACGCGTTTAGCAGGGGTCCCCCGGGGCTATGGCGGGTATGTTCAGAGACTGCGGTCCCGGTTGCTGGAAGGTACTTGTGGCACAGTCCTGGTGCGCGGTGCTGCTGTCAGCTCTGAGAATTCCAGGCAGCGGGCCGTCAGATTTAAAGTAACAGTTATAATAACTTTATTCCTTTTGTTGCACCTGTCTCTGGCGAAGCATTAGTGGAAAAAGTGATCCGCTTAGGCGTGCGCGCTGTCAGTGCGCTCTTGAGGCCCAGGTCCTGAAAACGACTTGTGATGCCATGGGGAAGGGTTCCAGCGTGTTGTTTTTTCTTGATGTGGAGGAAACAGCGGGTCCGGCAGCCTTCGCTCAGGCCGCGCTCCGCCCAGGCCTCACCTTTACCCTGTGCTAACCCCACGTGACTCCCTCTGCTCACCCCTGACTCAGTTTCCCACTACTGCAGCCAGCCACCCCGCCCGCCCATCGCCCCTGTGCTGCTCCTGCTCGCACTTCTTTCTCTCATTCAGGAGATCTTGTTTGCCTCTGCGCCTTCCTTGGGATTTAGGTTGCATGGGGGTGGACCCATATCCCCGACCCCCACCCCCGGTTGTTTTCCCAGCTTGCAGGAAATTGCTGAGGCATGGTGGTGCTTCATCTTTTGCCCAGTGAGGCTTGGAAATGAGGGGACTATTAACAGTGCTCCCCAAGAGGATGTTGTTTATTACCCAGGTAGCTGTGTAAGCCCAATTTTAACTAAGGAAAGCAAATAGATCATATCGTAGTTCGTCCTACTTATGTGAAATTCGAAGATACATTGATTTACAGACTAAAATTTAGAAAAGTGAATATCATATAATCGTTCTAATAGTGGTGTTTGTTGTTTTTTGGTTGTTTGTTTTGTTTCGTTGAGGAATCTTGCTATGTTGCCCAGGCCTAACACTGAATTCCTGAGTTGAAATGATTCCCCTGCCTAGGCCTCCAGATTAACTGGGACTACATATAACTACATCCAACTGTAATAGTGGAACATTTTGGGCCAGTGCTAAATATTTTTGTAAACTATTATATTGCTGACAAAAAATGTAGGTGTATAATTTATCCATGAGAATGCATGATTTTATTTTAAAGTGTTATTCATTTTCTTTAGGAAGAGAAAAGAGCAAAACTTGCAGAGGCTGCAGAGAGAAGACAGAAGGAGGTGAGATTAAAAATAAAACGTTACCTGTTTAGATAATAAGGGTCCCACTTTACTCTTCTGAACTATCGCTAAAAGTATTCTCTATGTGCATGGTGTCTGATACTCTAGATAATATTTAAAGACACCCATTTTTTCTATGTTCCTTGAAGTGTGTTAATGTCTTTTTTTGTCATTGAATGTGTGAAAATTGCCATAAAGGTGTTTTCCCCAATCCGAGATGCTCCAGTAAGAATATTCTCTTTTGCACTAAAGTGTCTGGGTCTTGCAAAACACTGCTAACTGTGAAGTTTAAGGAAGATTTTTGTATGGTTGCAAAATAGTCAATGAAGAAATGAGTGTATTTTCATAAGGCTGCTGTGGAAATGTGCTATTTCCAAAGTAAGCCAACTCCCCAAGGACAAACTGGAAAGCAAAATCGCCCTCTGGACACCAGATACCAATTGTATGTTTGTTTTTATCCTTTATCACATTTCTTAAAGGCTGCATCTCGGGGGATTTTAGATGTTCGATCTGTGGAAGAAAAGAGAAAGAAAAAGGAAAAACTAGAAAAACAGATTGCTACGTCTGGGCCTCCCCCAGCAGGTGGCCTTAGAGTAAGTATTAAAATTTATTTGAAGTCTAAATTAACTGGCATGTTTTGAAAACTTACATAGCAGTTTTTAAATAATTTTCTCTGGAAATCCATGGGAGAAAAGTTTACAGTCACTAATTTAGAAAACGTGTCTGTTTATTTACCATTCATTGGAATAGATTTGCTTTTTTATCTGAAGTGAAAATAATTTTTATTTTTTCTACGTAACATTATATTTTAGTACTTAACACTGAAATATTTCTTTCTTTTTGATTTTTGGAGACTGTCTTGCTCTGTACATCAGTCTGGGCACAAATTCTTAGCTTTCCTGCCTCAGCTCTTCAGGTGCTGGGATTACAGGCATGTACCACTACGCCTGGCATTACTAGTCTTCAGTGTGTCAAAAACCCAAGCAGAATGGGGCAATGTGAAAAATATACAAAGTATCCAAATTCAATACCCTTTCACCAGATATGACTTTTAATCTCCACTTCCACATGCAACATTACTGCCTTACGCCATAAATTAGTTCTGTTTTGTAGCTGAAATTTTGCACTCTGTGATGTGAGGTCTTCCATCTTCCCGTTCTCACTGTCATAGCTACGGAAGTGTTTATTTGGACCATGGGATCTACAGGTGGAGTGTGACCACGTTCTTCCCCAAGTGTCTGTCACAGAACTGTGTACTGGTATATAATGATAGACAAATGAAGCCATCCTGACAGTCTAGCAGGGGAGTGAAGGTTTTATTTTCCATGTATTGGTCAGGAAAACAAGGGGTCAGATAGTAAAGCTTTCTTCTTCTTCCTCTTTTCTTTGTGGTGGTGCTGGGAATTGAACCCAGGGCAGTGTGATGCGAAGTGTCTCCCACTGAGTTACAGCCCACCCCCTTCGTGGTCCATGTTTAAAGGAAGCTTTTTCTTAAGTAAACACACTTGTGAAATGGACAGTGTCTGGAGCTCCAGTCGCTCATATTGACGTCCTCAGTGATTTGTAAATGTGTTTCAGCTGACCTACTCTCTTTATAATTCAGTTTTTGTTTTGCTTTTACACAGCCCCACATAAACATATGTATCATATCTGTGCATGTATGTCTTTACCACAGGACTTTTTAGAGGCCTGAATCTTACTCCCTTTTTAATGTGTTGGAAGGGGTACTATCTAAAATGTTCTATTTTCAGGATATATAACATAAAACTCAGTATTTTTCAACTTCCCATTTCTCTAAATTATAGGGCATATGATTTCAGGGTATTCTGAGTGGAGTACATTTGGGCTCAGGAGTGTCACGTAGAGATAAGCGTTATCTATGTCATATTATCATTGTGTGCTATCCTGTCTACTTTCCGTTAGTGGATGAAGCTAAAAGCCATTTTTCTTCACAGTGAACTTTTAAGAGTGTGTATAATAATTGGCTTCAGTATTAACATATATACGTAATAGGACCATTTTGCTTGTGTTAATTTTTTTATATCTCCATAAAGGAATGAAATAGGTCCAGTCTAAAGTTGGGAGCTGATAAGGTCAAATCTTTATCGCAAATCTAGATCACTGCTTTCAATCAACATTTGCTGATATAAATAGCTACATCAGTAGGTTTAATTCTCTCACAAACCAGTATATACAAAAAGTAAGTAACAAAAGTGGAAATGACGTTTAGGTCCATCATTCATAAAAGATACTGAGGAACTCACATATAATTTTATAAGAAAAGTATCTTTAATGTACATGTAGTCAGCATTGAGATAACTTATTTTACCTGTTGTAAGCTAATGAATTTGACCTTCTTTTAATTCCAAGAAAGAAAGGGGCTTGCTTAATTAACCCTGTAGCTTCCACATCCTGTAGCTTCCACATCCTGTAGCCTGCAGATTGAAAAGAAACAAAGCTTCTGGTCCCCTCAGAGGTGCTCAGCACAAAAGACGTTTGTTTTAAGAAGCAGTCCTTTCTGTGTACTCTTGAAATAAGTCTCTCCACCTTCCCTAATAAAGGGGTCCCAGGGCGGTACACTGGTGGTGGCAGGAGGAGGGTTTTCTGCAAGGAGGCTCCCTCTGCAGCTCCACTGCCCCTGGGGCCCCTCCCCCCTACCCACACTCACGGGCTTTCAGGGCTGCCCCTCTACCCTTGCCAGCTGCACCATGCCTCCTGAACAAGAAGTTAAAAAGCAGAGTTTTGGAGCCTCAGGGCAGCACAGGGCAGAGAAGCTTCTGCTCACAGCCCTTGGCCTAGGATCCTGTATTGAGATGCTGTCTGCCTGTTCCATGCACTGCGCAGAGTGAAGGTCACACTTCTGTGCCTCTTTCTGTTCCTCATGCTGTTCTCTCTGATCAGCCTCACTGCAGCCCAGCAGACCTGCAGGGGCAGTAGCAGTCACACAGCGACTGCATCAGGGCGCAAAGCACCCTCTGTGCTGGGAGCAACAGTGTCTGTGGTAGCCATCACCTGCTGTGCATCCCAGTCAAGGGGAGCTTAGGAAAGGAACTTCATGTGAGCAGAGTCTGCCAGGTTGGACTTTAGCTGTCAGGCATTTGTAACTCCCCATGATATTTTTAATGTAAACCCAGACTTCAGAATCACTGCCCAAATGATTTTTAACACTGGTATTAAGAGAGATGTTATGGGTGGTAGAGTCCAGTGGCTAAAAAAAAGCAAACTTTGAAATTCCTGAATAGTGTACAATAATAGGAAATAGTATGTTTTAGACAGTGTCCCCTGTCACAGATTAAAAAGGGCACAAGATTGAAGGCTCTAGGAAGTCCCATATTAAGAACAAGTCTACTTACATTAACTCTGTGCTTGTACTCACAGTATAGCTGTTTTGAAAAACACATAACACCAAATATTTGGGGGTTGTACTTTGAAAGCATTACATGAAAGATTTAGATATCAGTGGGCCCTTTCCAGGAACTCTTTCAAAACCTAGTGTGACAGACACAGTAGATTTGGTTAAAGGAAGCAATAGGTGGAATATTATGAAAGCAAAGGACCTTGTCACACATTGTTTAGCAAGTACTCCCTGATTTGTGTGGTGCACTTGTATTGCTTATTCCTTGTGTTTGGCAGTGTTTTTTTTCTCCCTTTACTGATTATTGACTATGTGACTGTGTGACTATGTGACTGGTGACTGGCAGGATTAAAGCACGAAGGGCATCCTGTTTGTACGGGGATGGGAACATCCCGGGCCCCTGGCCAGGCCCCTTTTCAGGGCATCAGTTCCCAGCACACAGGGTGGTTATTCCTGAGAGTAGAGAGAAGCAGGTCTGTCCCGGGCCACATGGAGCTGGCCTACAGCTGCCCACGGTCAGCCTGATGTCGGGTTTCCATGGTGATGAACCTTATGATTTCGGACACAGGGCTACAGTGTTCCTTTTGGTGATTAGCTGTTGTGTTTTGTGTTTTAGATCTCATCTTACTGTATTTACCTGTTTACACGTTGGACTATTGTTATATAACTTTAAATAAAATTCGCTTCTCTCTACTTTCGTCTTTTCTAGTGGACAGTTTCATAAAGCATGACATGAATGGAAGAGGCCACTGCCAGTCATTGCCCAGCATCTGCAATCAAGTGGACATCTTCTGTTTAGTTTCTCCTCCCTGGATACACGAGTACACTTCTGTAACGTTAGTGCCCTCCATTGCAGTACTAAATCTATGCCAATATTGGGAAAAAGGTTGATTTTCAGACTTCGAAAATGACCAGATAGTTTATTAAATTCTCTTGTTTCTGCACTTTGCTGCAGGAAGTGATTTAACATTCTTTCATAGTTAAAATACCGATCTAAATAGCATATACAAATGGTATATAAAAATCTTGCATACACTTCTATTACCAAAATTGCAAATAAATTCTCCTCCTTTAAAATATATTAGCTATTTATAGGTGTACATAGCCTTTTGTTTGACTTTTTTTCACCTATGTATGAAGACTTTTGCTTAAAGACTTAGTGCCTTTAAACTGATCATCAGGGAAAATCTTAAAAATTCATTTGAAGGGCTTATCTGAAGGAACACTAAACTTTTATAACTTACTGGGTAATATTTGTAAAGCAAGTATTGAATTTCTCCTAATTTGTTGTCTGTTTTTTTATACCTTATAAAATTAACATACTATGTATTACAATACAATAAAGGCTTTCTTTGTTGCATTTAAAATTACACATAGGTGGACACCATCAGAGGGCATTGATATGCTATTGTACAGTAACACATTCGGCTCTCTAAATATCTGTGTGATAATTAAATTAATCTAAGAATTTGGGTGAGTTACAGTGAGTGGTAATATATTTGTCTAAATTGCATAAGCATTTTTCTTTTTATATTTATTAAAGAATAGTTATTAGATTGGTACAGGCGTGAAAATGCCAAAGCAAGTATGAACATCTGAAAGATGTAGGGACTGTATTTTAAAACATAATAATATTAGGAGGTAATTCTATAAGATACATAGACATTTTAGATTTTTATCACAAAGTATATGCATTTCATGTAACATTTACACTTTTGGTTTTTCCTTTTACTGTATAATGTGTTAAAATAGAAGCACTGGTATTAACTGTCAGAGATTATACTTCTTTGAATGGCAAGGCCACATATGTGAGCCCTGAATTAAAACTGCAGACACTAGATGCCAACAGGAATTAAATTAAAAAGAGTAGCTCACATAATTTACAAAGAAAAACTGAGCCACTGTTCTCTCTCAACTCTCCCACGAAGGCTGTGTTATATTGCAATGTACTGCACATATTTATTTTAAAGCTGAACTATAATACAAGTCCCTCAGCTCTGTGTGTATTATAAATTATTTTTTCTACTGTGGTATGAAGTACTCAGTGATTAAGCAAAACATAAAATGAGTGTCCTTCATTCTTTAGAGGATCCGTGATATTTTTCATAAAAGACTGTGAAATCATTGAGCTGCACTTTATAGATAATTTTTTTTTTTTACTTTATTAAGACGATTAAATTTCTTAAGAGAAGGAACAAGGAGAAGTAGTAGTTCTAAGGACCTAGAACCAGACCATCCCTTCCTTGAATTGTGCCCTCTGTGTCACGACAGCAAGAATGACTATTCCTTTACTGCATCTTAAGGAGTTAGGATGTGGATTGTATGCACAGGGATAACGTCCTCTCTGACCACAGCTTATATCCCAGTAGCGTACTGCTGGAATATGAATGCTTGGCACTCCTTGCTTTCTGGGAGAAGTGGGCTCCACGGCTCCCACTGATCGTGGCAGCTTCCGTGGTCTGAGCAGCTTCAGAGCCACACATGCTGCAGGCACTAATCCACGGGTGACACGCACATCTCAGCGGCATTGTTAGGAAGGAGATGGGCAAGGATTTTGAAAACGATGCTTGAGGAAGAAACAGTGATCACTAAAACAAAATGCATGCACGTACAGATACTTTCCTCATAAAGTTATGCATTGGTATGAAAACCTACATTGGAGTGGAGTCCTCCAATTAAGACTTTAAATAAGAGAAGACCATAATGTTTGATACCTCCCCCAGCTTCTCTGTCCAGATTACTAAAACACCCAGCACAGCAAGATGTGTATATGTTAACTGTGTTAAAATACCAATATTAAACCTCATCTTCATTCTCAGCATTAAACTATTGCTATGGCTGATAATAAAAAGCTGTTACACAGCTGCTTTGTGACACATTGTAGTGTGTGTGTGTGTGTGTGTGTTTTAAGTATGTCATTCTGTTGTTTGATTAGTTGTGTTAAGAATGAAACCCATTTCCCACATAGAGTTTTGCTATAAATTATTGTCTTTTGGAGACATAATTTTATGTTTTGCTGTACAAGGATTGCCTTTGCCTGCCTCTATTTAACAAAATTTCCTCTCTTACAGCTTCGTTAGAACTAGGGTTGGTAGTAATGCTTCATCTTTTTGCAGTTAACAACAACAAAAGAGCTAATGGCAGTTTCTTGTGTACACTGTCCAGAGTTAGAGATAGACATGTTCCTTTGCTTGTACTGTAAAGAAGTGATGGTATTAGTCCCTGCCTTTCTTTAGAGAAATCATGACGTAATAAAGGTTCTGTGTATCATACTCAGTACCCCAGGGGAATTGACATAACTTTTGAATTTTCCTTCTTTTCAGAAGCTTCACTGATAATCACGTTAATTTTTCACTGATAATCATACTTTTCCCTTGGAAGCTAAACATTTGTCAGTTTTGAATCACAGTTTCTGTTCCAGTAAGTCAACAAGAGGTAAAAAGATATCCATGCCAGTCTATGTTGAGATTTAGAGTACATTTCTTTAGCATCTGTAGGCAAGCTTCTCCAGTTCCATTAACTGTTGCCCATGCTGTAAACTGATTCAGATATGCTGATGCCCTTTTCTTTGTTTTGTAAAAAGCCATGGGCACAGAATATTTATGTGTATAGCAGGTTTTAAAGAAGTTTTGTTTAGATGCAGAAGTTTGTGTCCAGTGAGTCAAAACAACTTAAATTCCCAGCTATTTATAGCACTGTCCTCTCTTCCAGGCTTCCTTCTGCAAATATCTGCAACTATGACCACTCTGCACTAACATCTGAATGTGCAACGGGCCCCAGGTTTAGCTTAGTGATGTAAATGCCTGCTTGGCAAACGAGGTCATGAATTCAATCCTTGGTACCAAAAAAAAAAAAAAAAAAAAAAAAATTCTGAATGTGCATAAACTCCTTGACCTGGATGTGGTACTTTTGTTGTATACTGAATTATATTGGCTATTTTTGTAACACCATATTTAGGTTGTGCTAAGTTTTGAGTTAAAGTCCTGTAGCTATAACTATTTAAGGAAAGAAAGAAAATTATGGTTGTCTTTTCACTGACAAAATACCCAGCATTTTATGAGGTGGGGCATTGCACCTAGTATAGTTTTGTCACAAAAGTATTCTTCCCCTTGAGCTACTTTGATGGCCAGAGGTTTCTACTTATTAACCCTCCATCTACTTTTTTGTTGTTGTTGTTTTTGCATTACAGAATAATCCCTAGACAAGGCAGCTAAGAGTTTCTGCAAATAAATTCTTAACAGTTCAGACTGATTAGCCCCCAGAGTTCTGAAGTGAACTCAGTCCTTGGGGGTCCAAGATGCCAGTGTATCCACCACTTGTCCTGTAGGAACTGCGTAGGACTTCACCCTGCCGCCCTAGAAGAAGCTAAGTGACTATGATGGCAGTGGACTGCTTGGTAACCCCAGAACACGTGTGTTCTGCCTAGTGCGTTGGTGGCATTTCTGACTATGGTCTTCCCATTATTCATTGGCTTGGATTTGTGTTGTCAGCCACTTCCTTTCTGCTGTTGTCAGGCCAGCTTCTGGACTGAGACTTTTCTAGTCCTTTATCCACTTGCATTGGACCTCTCTCTGTGCTACCCTTTCATGGGATGTAAGTGTCTACCTGAGACCAAGGTCAGAGGAGCCACTTGCAACCTGGCCTGGTTTCACAGAGGAGCCAGTCAGTAAGAGCCACCTATGGTTTTTATTTGCTTCCAGATTTTTTTTTTCCACATCCCTTTTCCATGATCACTTAGCAGCCAGATCCCAGTGTCAGCTGTGACCAAGTCCTCAGCAGTACTGACACAGAGCACCCAAGATATAAATGCAGAGCAAAGTAAATAGATGATAGGAAATAGGGAGCTAAATCTTTTGCAGAAGGAGAGCTAAGAGTTGGAAGAGAATGGTGCGGGAAAGCTGAAAAATGCAGTTGAAGGTATTATGTCCATGGACCAACTCGGCATAGGGAATACAGTCATCATGAACTATGAGTACACTAATACAAAATCAAAATTAGAAAAAAGACTACCGGAAGTGATACAGGCCTGGTAATTCTCTTTTCCCCCCAAACATATTCCTGCTCCATGGCCAGAAACCTATGCTATGTTACTTTACAGAACAAAGGTGATTTTGTAAATGTGATCAAGTTAACCTTAAAGGTTATTATTCAGGTGAGCCCCATCCAAAAAAAAATCTTTAAAAGCTGAGGACTTTTCCAACTTATGATTGAGAAAATGTGAAGGAAGATGGTCCAGAGAGGGGCTGTATGGCTGGCCTTGAAGACAGAAAGGAGACCGTGAAGAGGAGGTGAGGTGACCTCTGGATGATGGAGAAGACAGGGAAATGGTTTCTTCAGTGCTCAGAAAAACCATTCATCAAAGAAACCAGGATTTGGTTGTTGCTGTGCCCTTGCTTTTGAACTAAATGATGTGAATTTTCAATATTAAAAGACATGAGTATGCTTATGGGAAAAATTTAACCACATGAGCAAGCTTTGATGGAAAAGCTCAATGACTGTATAGAAAATTAATATTAATTTGATACTAATTATTAAATATTAAATTATTAATATTAATTTGATAGTATGATTAACTCAGTTTCATAGTTGAAAAGATTCTAGGGTTATTGACTTGGTCAAAATATATTTCCACAAAACCAATAGGTTTTATTCTTTTTTTTCTTTGCATTGACATTTGTTTTCAAAGATGATTACCACCCTTTTATACCATGCTGTTATAAAATTTCCAAGTTAATGAGTTGTGTAACTAAATTGGTCACATGACAGATTCCTCTTCCCCAAGTTTTTGGAGGGAGAAAAGTGACTTTGTTTTCCTTTTGAGAAAAAATGACGAGCTACTTCTACCTGTATTTCTGATACTGAGAGAGCCACTTAGGTCTACTATCCATGATAAAATCTAACCCCTCTGCTAAGAGCGTACCTATACTCAAGAACACACTCATCACCACAGTATGAAGAGGTTCTAGGTAGCCATAATTTAGCTCTCCTTGTGACTCTCAGGTAAATTAGCTATTTGAAGACTTACTTTATTTCAAATTTAAGAACTGATAATAGAGACAGAAAGCATTGTTTAAATTTATCTTTTTAATTTTTGCATCAGTGAGGACAATCCTTTGCTGTTTGCCCTGTCTCAGGTATACAATGGTATACACAAGCCTGTAACATCCTTAGCTACAATGAATTTACTAGACAGCATAACAAAATAGGAGTAACTGAAGATATACTTTAATAAGAAAATGCTTTAAAGTAACATGAAGTCAGTGACCATTTATACAATTCAGTCATCAAAATAAATGTATGTCAGCTCATGTGTGTGAATTACACTCTTTCTAACCACCAGCCATGTGCTTAAGAATGTGTGAAATTCATCAGCTCTTCTCTAAGGGGGGTGTACCAAAAACTTCCAAAAGTACCCCAGATATTTGGTCAGAGATAAAAGCGAAACTTAAGGCAATCTTCCCAATGAATGTAAACTTTTCTGAAGTGGCCTTTCCAGGACAGCATTACTGCTGTGAATAGCCTGTACTTAACTGAGAGTACTGTTCCATGTTTTTAGTAGCACATTATCACACTACTCATTTTGTAAAAAATAGCTTAAAAATCCAGAATTATAAAAATGTCTGGGGTGCTTTTACTCATAGACACACAGCAGGCACTTTCTGTTGACTTTTCTAAGAATTCTAAGTGTTTCTCTCGTAATAGTTTTGTCTTCAGCATCTATAGCTAGCATTGTGTTCCTAATACTGTGTGTGCCCTAAATACTGTGCTCAGATACTGAGAAACAATAATTTGCCTATGATTTCACTAGTTTAAATCTGGATTTAGACTTTAATGGTGTCATTTCCTACAGAAGCATTACAAATAAATAGTGCTACTATATTTCAGTATGATGACATTTTCTGTCTGTTACACCCTTCTCCAAAGTGGTTTTCAGAGCAAGTGGGCTAAACTGACTACACTGGAAATGTGGATATAGGGCCCTATCAAAGTCCTTTTGTGGCCACCGAGAGTTTCATTTAATCTCCTTCTTAGCCTTATAATTGGCAGATACCACCAAGTAGTTATCTGGATTCATGTCCTTAAGAGTTGGAGATTTGCTCTGGATAGGGGATGTTTTGCCATCCACACGTGAGATCTGCAGCATTCGGCAAGGGTCATGTTTCAACAAATACCCAGCAAAAGTTTCCCATCCGCCTCCCACACGCACCATGACATGTTTGTTGTGCAGCATCTGAAATGAGAGAAGAAGAAAAGCGTTACACTCAGAGAATCCCGACTATGTCAGGAATCAAGCCCCAGTTCTCGGGAATAAGTGCTGTTTGTCTTGCATCTCATGCCTCATTGCGTTCGTGATTTACTGGAGGCAGTCAGCGGGTGGTTTATGAGAGAAGCCTTGTTATCGCCATGCAAGTGGGTGTGGATTTGGAGGCTTCTCTCTAATATTTCCATTGGAGCTCTCAACACTGCCTGTGGCTTCTGCCTGTTTCCCCAAACCAGGGCTTCCTTCTTCCCACCAGGTGGTTTCCCTCTCACCCAGGGATTGGGGGACCCTGTGCATTGTGATGTTAACTCTCCCGCCAATCTGTGACACAACAGAACTGAAAATGCACTCAGTGAAACTGGAACCTTCCCCAGGCTTTTTCTGAGCCCTCAGGACAAGATATTTTTAGATAACTAACCATTTATGTTTTCCTTTAGTGTTATACTTCTTCATTGCTTTAGAATATATTTCCAAATAAGCCAACCAAAGAAACAAAAAAAGAAAACAACTTACCTTCTGACCCAGGAGCCTTCTAGAGCTCCAGTTTAACAAAGCTGTAGATTTAAAAAGTGAACAACACATGCTTCTTTTTTTTAATCTTGTCATCACATACCAGAGTTGTGGAGATCTGGTATGGAAAGCCAAAGAATGTGACCTTGAGTTCTTCAAATAGTTAAAGGAAGTCTATCTCATTATCACTAAAGGTCCCACTCTCCTGCTTTCCTGCCTACAAATTTATGGACACGTAAGGGTCATATAATCCTGGAAGGGGGTGAATTGCCAGTGATCCCTGTGGAATCCCACTGTATTTCTCTTGATCTTTGTCAGCCTGACATCAGGACTTCCTGGACTCTCATGGTGAGAGGGAGAGGGTTGGGCTCACACTACCTTCATTTAACCTTTGAGAATCTGAAGAAACCTAAGACTCTGCTTTCCCTGTGCTTGTAGTCACAAAGCCTTGCATATGTGTTTCAGGTTCTCACAGAATTTAACACATCAATCTACAGAATCAAACTAGATGCTCTGACTCATGGTTGATAAGAATTAGTTTTTAAAATCAAAAATATTATGTGAACTGTTACAATAAACAACAGTGAGTGTGACTCTATTGGTTATTAGAGTATTTTTAGGCTTTTAGAACAGAAGGAAACTTAGGAAATACCTTTCTGCTGGAATTCTTTATGTTAGCATTATAAGTTGCCCGTGGAATAAAATCTCAAAGAGAACCACTGAAATGGGAAGCACCGTGGAGGAGTTAGGGTTTTGCACAAAACTCCTCTGCCTCTCGAGTTCTGGCCGGCCAGCCTTACCACGTTCTCATACATGTGAAGGCACTGAGGACCAGGTGGTCCATGTGATTTGCTTGGGACTCAGATATCCTGGCTCCAATCTAATGCTTTTCTCATGAGGGTTCCTACTGCATCAGTAAAATCCATTAAGGCTTTTATGAGGAGATGAATGTGTCCTTATTTCAGGAATATATTCCTCTACTGCAAACATTAAGACCCTGGGACAGAATTAACAAAGGCCGGTAGCGTACGACCTTTCCTAACACTGTACCAGACTTTGCCGTGCTCATCACAGAAGTTCTGCAACCTCGCAACCCTGCTAACTATATGTGTTTGTTCCAAACACCCTCAGCAGACAGTGCACTGTGAACAAGCTTTCCAAAGAGAAAGAACCACCAGTAAGACCAGTTTCGCAATGATTAACTCTGGGAGACAGTAATGGAAACAGATATATCTTTGAACCTGGAGTAGACTGAGAATTTAGGCACATAATCTGTTTCTGGGCACTTTTTTTTTTTTTATTTTTTATGTTTTAGTACTGCAGAATGCTCTAAGCTCCATCTCATAGCCCTTTTTAGTTTTTATTTTTTTAATCCTTTTTCATTGCTGTTTTTTGAGAAAGAGTCTCACTGTGTAGTTTAGGCTGGTTTTGAACTCATATGTTGCCCAGGCTGGCCTTGAACTCACTTTGATCCTCCTACTCCAGCCTTCTAAGTGCTGGGATTACAGCCACACCTGTTTGTTTTCTTTTGCTATTGTTTATTTGTTCTGTCTTTTTTCTTTTCTTTTTTTCTTCTTTAAATCTTATGGTAGCACCTTGTGAATCTGCTGGACTACCAGAGTTGAGCTGGAGTTTGGGGTCTTTCTGCCTCACCCTCCCAGAGAGCTGGGATTATAGGCCTGCACTGCCACCACCAGGTCTGGCTTATTTACAGATACTCTCATGAGTCTGCTGCACCCTGTTAAGTGGATTCAGCATGAAACAGAGGTGTGACTGAATGTGAACACAGGAATTTCATTTCTTCCCATCTGCTCCACATCCTTCCTAGGGAAGATATAGACTTCAGTGCAATATTTTTCAAACTGTCAATAGTTGATGGTTAGCAATAAATACTCCTATATCTAAGTTCATTTTTCTGCATTGTAAAGTGGAGGCTAAGCTCGGCTTCCTGGAGCTCACGTCCTCTCTCTGGATACCTCTGCCAGCTACTTTATCCAAATCTTCACTGGCCCTTTCCCCACCGCTCTTCTCAAAAAGAATTCCAAGGTCAGTTTCTGCCAGAACATCTTGACCCCATTCTTTTTTATTCTTGCTCTTGTACTTTCTTCTTACATCTGAACTTCTTAAGTGCACACTGGTGCGTGTCCTGCTGTCTTCTTAGTCACTGTGCAAACCCACAATGCACATGGTCTCTGCCCCACTGAGAAAAGGAAACATGGTTTTTAGATGTGCCAATTCTGATAGCCCTGACTCCTTACATCTTGATTAATCTGCCAGCAAGATTTCTATAATACCTGGCTGCCCCCTCTTTGCTCTGTGCCCGACTACCTAGGAGGAGACTTTTCTAGATGGCATTGCTGCCTACCTAATTCATTGCTGTCTGCCTTCTGCATAGGTTCCACTTAATCTACTTTTCCAAGTTTTGCTGTTTCAAAGGATTCGGAATGATTCTGAAATTGCTCTACTGCTTTTCTCATGCTTAGCTCTCTCCATTTGTGATCGTATGGTGTTCATTACCGTTTACTTTTATCTCTCAGTTTACATGGACTTCAGAATGCAAAGTCCTGGGCCGTTCTCCCATACTTTCCTAATCAGGATTGTGGTGTGGGCTTTCTCTGTATCTAGATACTGAAAACATTCATTTACCTGTAAAGGTTTTTCAGGGACTTGGATACGACTGCTGCTACTTAATTCAGCACCTCATCTTTTGCCCAAGCTGTAAGGGTGTTTCTTCCTCTGATACATTGAATGAAACATCTCCAAAGGGATTTCCTATTGATCTAATTGTCTTCCATCTCAGTAACTTCATTAGTTAAGTCTTTCCCATAGGCTGAGATTCAGATTTCATTATTTTCATGAATTATTTGCCAAGCCATTCTGCCAGTCTTGTAAAGCTTTCTCTGAGCTCTGGGTCTCATGAATTCTTTTAGGGTTTTTTTTTTTTTTCTCTCTCAGGTAATATATATTTCCTCTGGATGTCTGAACCCTGGTTCCTAAATATGGAATATCATTTCTACTACACCCTCCTTACTTACCAGGACACCAAGCTTACTCCAGGTCAAATATCCTCTCCACCTGAAAGATCTGCCCAGATCGTGTCCTTCACCCATACAGAGTGGGTGTTAGTTCACACACACAGACTCACTGTTAGGCTCACCCTGCTGGCTTGTCTCTGTGTACCTTTTCATAACAAAGGGTGAGCTCTCTGAGGAGAAGGACAACGTATTTCCCATGACGGAAAATTCACAACGCAAACACGCAGAACAATATCAAAACTGTAATCACACAGGCTCCCTTTCATGGACACTTTCACATGCTGGATTTACTTTGCCTCATTCATGACATCACTATCAGCACCATGCCCATTTCACAGATCCGAAAACTGATGCCTGCAGAAGTTGAACAACTTGTACAAGACTGCCTAAGAAAGCGTGAGCAGTACTGTGATGAGAATTCTCCCATGTACTCTGCGAAGGGCTTGGATTTGATTTTCACTCATGCTCAGTTACTTACCAGTCAGCGCACCACACTGACCAAGCAGCACTGACACCAGAGCTTAAGCACAGTAGCTTTGCTTGTGTGAAATGATTTACAGAGGTATCATCTAATGAGGAATTTCACTGCAGAAGATGACTCTACAGATGCCCTGAGTATTTGAGCAGAAACATGTCCACGGTAGATGACAGGATGGGGTAGATCTCTAGTTTGCATCTGTTGCCATATGAGGTAGCTGGCTTGGATGCTGTGTGCAGTGTGTATCTCAGTGCTTCTTATTTGATCCTTCACATGTGATGCTTTGTTGTTACAAAAGGTCGTCCCTCTGGACAATGTGTACCAATGCACACATCTGTGGAATAAGCATTAGTGAGCTTTTAATGTGTATTGTTCGTTGATTGTATTTATTCTCAAGGTAAAGCTTAGAGTGGCCACAGATGTCCTCCGACAGTGTATGTCACCAGGTAGGTTAGGCCTGTCCTAACCTTTACCACTCTCTATGGTCTGACCCAGTGCCACAGTGCTTCTGACCACAGCAGAGGGGAAGAGACCCATTACCCATTCAGGTGACATTTCTCAATGCTGGAGGGGAAAAGCAAGAAACAACCAAAATCCTACTTCATCCTCCTTCCCAAAGGCCTCCAAGGAATTCCATAGGTACATGCTCCAGCTGCTGCCCACGCTGCAGACAGCAGACATTGGGCCTTCCCAAGTCTGTAACTGACCCTCTTGACCCAGAAAGAACAGTGATTTGCCTCAGATTTGTGTTTTTTTTTAAAAAATAATTTCTCTCCAAGTGAGAAAAGTATTCTCATTCTTTTCAAGGCCACTGTGTTTTATGATATTGTCCTGTTGTGATTTTGCTGTCAACCAGCCTTGGTGGTGTACACCTGTAATCCCAGCACTCAAGAGGCTGAGGCAAGAGGATCTCTGCAAGTGCAAGACCAGGATGGGTTACATAGTGA